CACCTAAGTTGAAAGGCTGGTTGTATGCCTCGTAGTTTGTACACTTGTGTTCTGGTTTCTGCTTTTCTATCCTTGCTTTATATCTTCGAAAAGCTTGAGTATAGTGTGATGAGCTAGACACCTGCTCGTAGGGGGCACCGAGGAAGTTCGCCTGATCTTCCAGGCTGTCAACCTGTATGTTAACCAGTGGGAGTGTATGTACTTGTCTTCCTGCTAATCTACGAACCATGTTCCAGACTTTAGCCTCTTGTGCATATGAATTGATCCCTGATAAGTACTTGTGCCAGCTTTCTCTTCTGGCCTGCCTGCGCGTTCCCCTGCCTTGAGATTTTATTTTCTTAAAGCTGTCAAGAGTTTTGGCTATTGGTGAATTCCAAAACAACCTCCATGCCTTGTTCTGCTCCTTTCGCGCATTACGACACTCGGTGTTCCACCATGGGATGCGTCGCTTGCCAGGCAGTCCAGATGTTTGCGGGATGCACTTGGCTGCTGCGTCAATAAGGAAAGCTGTGAAGTAGTCCACAGCTTCATCTACGCTTAACCCACATATGTCTGCCTAAGTTAAAAGAGTAGTGTTATAAAACTGTTCCCAGTCGGCTTTGTATGTCAGCCATTTCGGAACTTGTGAATGACATTGGTATGATGTTGGTGTACTCAGAAGACAGAAAAATGGTCACTTCCGCAGGGATTATTTATAATTTTCCATTGGAGTAGGAGTAGAAGTGAAGGAGATGCAATATTGAAGTCTATAGAGGAGTAAGTATTGTTTGCAAGGTTATAATATGTTGCCTCTTTCCTATTCAACAGGCAAGCACCTGATGAAAAGAGAAACTGTTCGATGAGACGACCTCGTGCATCACATTGACAGTCACCCCATAAACCGCTGTGCGCATTGAGGTCCCCTAGAAGCAGATAAGGTTCTGGTAACTTATCTAATAAAGACTGGAAATCATGTTTTTCCAGGTGGTGTTGCGGCGGTATGATAGAGAGCAGATAGTGACGAGCTTATTCAATAGAAAATCTTGAACAGCCACGGCCTCTAGGAATGTTAGTAGTGGTACATGACTACATACTCCTCAATTAACAATAGTGTCTACACCACCAAATGATGCTTGTGGCATCATCTCTGTCCTTTAAGAAGACAACATATTGACGCAAAAAATTTGTATTCTTGGATTTTAGGTGTGTTTCTTGTACACACAGCACTTTTGGAGAATGTTTCTGTAGAATTTCTTGGACATAGTCGAGGTTTAGAAGTAGTCCTTTGACGTTCCATTGTATAATTTATGTCTTCATTATGGGAGTAAACAAGTGCTGTGTGTACGAAAGGAGCGTGGCTGGTGTCTAAAGAGAAAAGTGATTTACCTTACAGAGCCTTTAGAAGGCCCTGTAATTACCGTTTTGTCTTTTTAGAGCGGTCGAGGGAACCCCGCCGCTCCTTGGGCACAGTCTGCGCCGGTGCACTTGATGTGTCCATCCCCTAAGGAGAGACAACAGACAATGTTGTTTTTGTTGTAGGCTTTGTCGTGACAGATGGAGCCTTCGACCCCACCGGGCTCAAGGTCGACGGGACCTCTTTAGTTAGTGTGGTGCCCTGGCTGCTGCCAGGGTTTAGTGGGGCATTTGGTGGGGCTGTATTCAAGGAGCGTGGGGCAGCCGAGGCTGCTCCCCCTGTGGGGGCTTGTGGCGTTTGCCTCGGCACGCTGGGCGTGATCCAAGGTATTGCCGAAAGCCGAAGTGGTGCTGACCCCCCTCGCACCACTTCGGCATACGATGTGTTCTCAGCAAAATGCGGGGAAACGCGCTGCCGCGCCTAACGGAAACTTATGTTCAATTTTAACTTCGTAATTATAATTTCTTTATCCTTTTTCAAGGCCACGCATGACCTGGAATATGCAGGATGGTCCCCCTCACAGTTTGCGCAGTGGAATTGTAGCTGACCGTCATCGTCAGCGGTATGACCTTTGGTGCCGCATTTCGCGCAGGTAAGCTGTGCTCGGCAGCTCTGGGAGCCGTGCCCAAACCTCTGACACTTAAAGCAGCACCGCGGGTTGGGTATATATGGTCTGACTGGCAGTTTAAGGTATCCTGTTGCTATTTAAGTGGGGAGAGGGGCTAGATACGAAAGTGAGTATGATGTGTTTTGTTGGGGCTTCTTTATTTTCTCTTCTTATTTTGATACGCTGCACCTGAATGACATTTTCTTCTTTCCAGCCTGTTAGAAGTTCATCATCAGAGGGGTCCATCAGGTCGCCTTCTGATACAACACCCTTCCCGGCGTTCATGGTTTGATGCGGTGTGATTGTGATAGGCTCATCCCCAAATGATGTAAGTTTATGCCGTCTCTGTTACTATGCGTGGTCTTTTATTTCGAGTAGCAGGTCACCACTGGCGGTCTTTGTGGCTTTGTAGCCTGCGCCTAGCGTTTCAATAAGGCATCTGGACACAAGGAAAGGTGAAATGCTTCTGGCTTTCTTTTCTGTACTTCCACAGTAGATGATGTGGTATTTCGGGAAGTTATCTTTCTTGTTTGGAAGAAATTTGAAAATTGCATTGGTGCGCCACCTCTTGGAGGGGCGATTGGTTGTGAGAGGGCTAGGAGTTTCCATGAATTTGGTAGCTTATTCGGCGGCCATGCCAGCCACCCATCACCGAGCCCAACAAGGCGACGCTGCGAGACGCGAAGGAGACGCAAGCGCCAGCCGTACATGGCCGCTATAACCTAATGTACCTACCCAAGGTTGGATATCTGCACCAGGTTAACCCTTGCCGCCGAGAATTGTGGAAGTAAAAAGAAGTGAGGAGAGGACAGGAAAGATCAAAAGTAGTAGAAACGACGAAGATGTAGAGAGAGAAGGAGACAGGAAGAGGCGACTGCCGATTTCCCCTGCATGGGTCAGCCCAGGGGTGTCGTCTACGTGAAGCCGGGGCCAAAGGGGTGTGATGCCTCTGCCCGGGGGCCTTAAATGTCCAATCACCCAGCGTCAGCTCAACCCCCAGGATCCCCTTTTCCCCGGACACAGAATAGCCACGCACGGCTAGGCGTGGGAGCGAGCCAAAACTCCCCCGTTATCTCGGGTCCGTGGTGTCGCTACACAACATACGCCTATTGTGCAGGCGCCCCTGCGGGGCGCACATCAACATTGGGGGTATGTCCCACACTGGGCGTTTCTTCAGACGGCCTGAAACGCAATGTGCACATTTCTACAGGCTTCCTTGGTGAACAACTAGTGATCATTTCACTTCCTTTTGATGTGTATTGCTGTGTAGAATGACTTCACTGGAAACAAACTGTATGCATTTTAGGCCTAACATTTTATTCCTTTTGTGCAGAGAAAGAAGAGAGAGAGAAGGAATGTAGGAAAAGTAGGAAGGTTAACTAGACTATGCGTCCAGTTTGCTACCCTACACATGGGGAGGGGGAGAGGGGAGTAAAAGAGAGAAGGATAGACACATTCCACATCACACACACAATGCCGAGTTTCACAGGCGGTTCCTCAATGAAGTAGCTGTCAAGTATCTCAGGAGGGCTTGTGTGGGTTTCTGTGCTGATGTGCTTCGCGACCAGGCTCCTGAGATCTTCGCTTCATTAAATGGCTGGTCATCGAGTCTATTCAAGGCACACTGGAGAGTCCGGCGATCTTCATCAAATTGGGCACAGTGGCACAAGAGATGTTTAATAGTCTCTATACAGTTGCAGCTTTCACACATGGATGAGTCCGCCATGCCAATGCGATGGCTGAATGACTTGGTAAACGCTACCGCAGTCTACAGCCGGTACAGCATTGTAGCGCCACGTCGAGAAATCTTGGATGGCAGTTGTTTCTGGAGTAATGACTTAAGATTCTTTGGGCGATGTTTGGAGTTAGGTGGAGAATTCCAGTGCGCAAGCGTGGCATTATGTGCGATGTGAAGTTCTCTAGCTGTGTCTACTCTTGACAAGGGAATTAACAGTGTGGGCGCTCTATCGTGGGCACATCGAGCAGCGTCGTCAGCGAGGTGGTTACTACTGATGCCACAGTGGCCTGGCAACCATTGTAAAACAATGTCGTGTCCTTGATCAGCAGCGCGATGAAAAATTTCATTAATACGATACACCATCTGGTGGTAGTTTCCACGTCGTAGATTTCACACGCATTGAAGGGCTGCCTTGGAGTCGCATAAAATGGCCCATCTACTCAGGGAATCTTGCGTAACAAACTCCACAGCGGCTCGAAGAGCGGCGAGCTCGAATCCCGTAGTTGTCGTGACGTGTGATGTCTTGAATTTGACGGTGATTGATCAAGATGGCACGACAAAGGCACCTGTTGAACTTCCCGAGACCGAACCATCCATGTAAACATGAATTCGGTTAGCATACGACAAATGCAAAAGCTCCAGTGAGATCTGCTTGAGGGCTGCAGATGACAGGCTTGCCTTTTTAGATATCCCCGGCACTTCAAGGTGCACAGCCGGTCTTTTAATGCACCACTCTGGAGATAGTGTTATGGTTGCGGGCGAGAATCTCCACGAGATGGAATTCTGGTTAGCCGCAACAACTTTGGAAAACGCTGCCTTTGGTCTTTCTAGTGGCAAGCTAGCAAGGTGGTGGTTAGGCACTCTAGATATGTGACGGATATGTGTCTGGAGTGTGTCGACAGTTATATATGTTGTGATCGGATGGTCTTTAGCAATACCAATTGTTGCTAACGTATTAGCGCACCGAGGTAGCCCCAAGCATGTGCGGAGGACTTGGCCTTGAATGCTTTGCAGATCTCTCGTGAAGTGCTCACATCTCGCACTTGAAGAAGAGGCTCAGCTCTATCACCCACGTGATGAGATTTCTCGCTGGTAAAACGTTGGGCACATCAGTGTCATCTATGCTTCACCTGTACAGAGTGCTCTTCTTGGAATATTTGCGGTATAGCACGCCCGTGCTTTCCAACGCCGGAAAAACTAACATCAAGGTCCTTTTATGCAAAAACTGACGGTGACTGCAGGGTAGTTAGATATTTCAATACATGCTAACTAGCTTTGCGCTGCTCATCCGCGAAGGCTCCTCGTCACTCAGCAACTTCAAGTGCAAGGTGTGCAACTGCGTTTCCCTGCGCGACAAGTTCTTCAGGCTCACATGCGGACGCACACTGATAAGAAGCTTTATGTGTGACCTTCCGGGCTGCAAGGAAGAATTTGCCCAGAGTGGCCAACTGAAGACTCACCAGCGCCTGCACACGAGTGAAAAGCTATTCATCTGCTCTGAATCAGGTGAACCTCGATAGGGCATCATCTTTCATTGCCTCACAACACTTTTGAATCTGCGTGTTCCAATCAAACAACTTCCGATCTTCACACTTGCCTTTATACAAATTTGTGGAACTGATATGGCAGCTGGCATCAGACACAGAGAATGTGCACGTTTCCACAATTGTTGCAGTTTTAGTGTCACTGCGCAAGCTGCTACGGAATGTGCCTTTTCTTTTGCATGTTCAGACGTACATGTGCGCAATATTGTAGCAGTATGCACCGGAAACGTTCTGTGGGGCATAGGTGGTTTAAGGAGCAGATGCACGGTCGAGAATGTGCAAGTGGCCTCCACCAAAGTTAGCACTCTCGGCTGACGCGAAGGTTTGAATGATTTATCTGCAGAACGTGTGCTAGAGAAGGAATATAGACAACAGTGAGTCACCCTTATGTTCTCGCTTTCACGCCGACAAAACTAGCCTGGCCAACTGGCAGGATTAGCCACTGAGTAAAATTTCACCACAAAAACGGTGCATAAATGCGAGGATGTAGAAAGACACAACTGGACAGGCTCTAACTTTCTACTAGAAACTTTCACAGAAAGAGCGCATGCTTTCATACAAGAATGCTCACCGATGCCGCTTAACTCTTTTGTTACCCCACCTATTAAAGTCGACCACCAGCAGTTTATGCTTTATATCATCGATTTTCGCATGATAATTTATATTCTTCAGCATTTAGCACTTTCTGTGTTCGAAAGGACTTCTTTATTTCCTTGTGCTGTCGGGGCTGCAGTGACACGCCAACGCCGAAAGCCTTCTGCACTATTTTTACCTGCCAATTGAAGAGATGATCAGGTGTATCCCTACATGGATTTCCCCATGACGCACCTCGGCGGCATAAGTGTATCGAGTTCGTACGCACGTATTGATGTGTGAATTAGGAACCCGTGTAGAACAGTCCCATTTGTGAGCTTCATTTCAAGGCCCAATGTTTCATGCCAAAGATGCCAGACTTGTCGCACATGGGTCTTCCGACAAGACCTATTGCAATACTCAAGCGTGATGCTTTATCGAGCAATTGTCACGTCCACAGATTCACACTCTTCAGCACAGTGATATGTCACTGCCTAAGCGACCTCGATGTGAGGTAAGAGAAATCACTCAGTTCTGCATGCTCAGGCCAACCGCTAAATTTTCAAAGAAAAATAACCTCGTTCAGCTTACATGCAGTGCAACATTGCAGCGAATTATGTGTCTTTTTTCTTTTTCACGCAGACGTGCTCCAAGAGGGCATGAGCACGACATCCATCTACAACTGTCGACGGACCATTGCGCAGACGGTGACAATGACACTAAATTTCAGGTGTGCCTTATATTCAACTCGTGTGCGAGTAGACTTCGCTACCACATCTGTGCTTTTTGGCAAGTGATACCTAGCTATGTAGTGCTGAAGGCAAATAATGGCGTCTATTTTATGATGATGGAGCATGTTTCTTGAGCCAATTTTTTCTTTGCAAAGTTTGCGGTTTGCTTCAGCAGCATGCGGAACAGAGCAATTTTTCTTACATAACAAGGACGGCGCATCAATGGGCAGAAATGTAACTTTCATTCTCTTGTGCCCCTGATGTCAGCTTGAAACTTTGTTCACCAAGTATTCCCTACGAAATGCTCACTACCATGCACGAAACATTATTGAGCTGCCTTTCATCCAGATTGAAATCCTAACAGGGCCAGCAAGAGCACGGGGAGATATATCGAAAATTGTCATTTGATACAAACATTTTCGTTTTATCTTGTTTTTGGAATCACTGAGAGCTATCACTGCATAGTAAGCCATTCAATCAAGCTGCTGTGAAATGTCAACATTTCACCTCTTCTGTACAGGCTGTCATGTCACTAATGTGAACACACAGCATGATGTTCAAGAGAAGGGTACACAGGTGTCTCGCTAACATGCATCAAGATCATCAGGCGCTCAGACAAGGTCAACAGTTATGGATGTTGGTGAGTAATCACGTTGTTCAAGCCGTGGAACAACGCGAAAAGGAGGGTCATATCTCATCTAGCTGTAAGCAAAAGTTTCCTTTAGCTGGCATTCGCGAGTTGGACGAGAACTTGAAGTTACTCGAGCCTTACATACGCGAAATTGTGGTTAACGGAAAGAAATGCCGGGCACTCCGCGATTCAGATGCGACGATGGACGTAGCACACCCATCTTGCATCTCCCCTGACGACTATACTGGCGAATGCGCCTGGATCAGACAGGTTGCAGAAGAGCAACGTGCCTGTTTGCCAATTGCTGCTGTTGTTCTAGAGGGAACTTTTGGAAAATTGCGCACTGAGGCGGCCGTGAGCCCTAATTTACCCCAAGATTTTCCATACCTTTTTTCCAGCAAATCAGAGCAGCTCCTTAAAGAAAAGAGCCAGTCATTTTCATCTCCCCTCGCGTGCTTGGCACTCACGCGTTCGCGGTCCCGCGCTCTCGTGGGGAGACTTGAGATCTCGGTTTCGAACAAGGACGCGGTCGAGCGTGAGACAACTCCCCATGGAGACTCCCGCCAAGAGGCGGCTAGGGTATCACAGGACATCGAAGACAGTAGAGCTCAGGATACGGTATTGGCTGCCGAACGCGACGAGCCTGTGGAGGTGGATGAAAACAGGGCGCATCAAGAGAACGTTCAGTCGTACCTGCTTGGTCCCACATCCACTTGTTGGGATGCTGAAATGCTGAAATTTCACTCATTATGAATTTCCTGCAAATGTTTGTGGTTTTAAGCAGTGTCTGTGTATGCATTGACTGCTTATCATGAAGAAGTTAAAAGAACATGGGGAGAGTAGCCGTCCTATGCATTGTCAACAATGCATTAGCTCCCATGTTTTGCATTCCGCCCATCTGTTTATTCATTTATTGTGCTTATGAGCATGAATTTTTCTTCTGGGCTCTTGTAACTATAACTTTCCTGTAACTGTTGGGCTGACCTCTTGTAACACTATAACTTTGTAAAATTTGTTTGTCTTGTTAGCTTTTTATTTCTTTTGCTGTCGCATATGTCTAAACCAGAATGTTCACTTGGTCTTGTTACTGGCTCTATTACTCAAAGAACAGTCTTTATAGCACCATCATTGTATCTCTAAAGTAAAATGCTAGAGGCCCAATTCTTCAAAAATAGATGGACGGTAATGAACACCAGAGATTTGCAATTTCTGAAGCTGACCATCCCTTCCCGTAATCATATTGTAATTTTTGCTAACAAAACCCACATGTTATTATGAGGGTACTTCTGCGTCGGTGCGTATATCAAAGTGCACTATTTTCATTTCAGCTTTCATAAAAACTGAATAGGACGGTGTGGCGCGTGCTTACGATAGAGCCGCTAGAAGAAAAAAACGAAGAAGTTGCGTTCCATCAATATGTCGGTACTGAGCACACGTCAGTCTTCTACATATTTTGGTGCCGAGAAACTCGGGAGAAGACTGACATCCTGCACCGAAGATGAGCCACCTGCGACGCAGCAGAGGAATAGTTCGAGCCACTACTACAAGGATAATCATGTCCGCTACCGAAGCTCTACAAGCGGTGAATCCTTCTCTGGCTGATCTGCAAGTCATGAATGACCTTCAAGACAAAGACGCGACACTTGATGATTTCAACGAAAGGATTGCTGACCTCATAATCAACGACACCGAGTGTGATGAGGAAAAGATGGCCGCTCTCCAATATCACGACAAGATCTGCAACATTATGAGCCGTGTACGCTGCCTTTTTAACTCAGTTTCAAGGCCCGCCGGCAGCAATGCACCTGTCGTCACTACCATAACTGAGCACCAAGAAGTCTCTGCTCAAAAAAGTTCCCAATCGCCGCTGCGAGTTGCCCTACTGAAGTTACAGGTGCCCGTTTTCTCTGGGGAACTTCGCAAGTGGCAAGGCGCATTTCGAGGCCATGATCCACAACGATCAGGAGGTTTCGCCCGATTGTTGTGGATCAGCCGCCATGGCAGTGGGCCCTTGCCTTCGCACTCGGGACTTCTAGTTGTCACTCGGGACTTCTAGTTCAAAGACTTCTAGTTATCACCAGAGGCACGGCCATCATCGACGGTAGGTGGGATGGGAGACATGGTTTATTTTCCTCCTCCGCCCTCCTCTCCTCGCCCGAAGGGAACTGCAGGAAATTTATAACTTCATTTTATTAGAATTATCTCTGCATGCTTGAGTAAAAATGGCCCCAAATTGGGTTCCAGGGACGTAAGAGGCTTTTGAACCTCTGATATCACATTACGCACCAGTGTGGCAACCTTCATAGTGATCGCAGTCTAGATTACTGTGGGTTCGGACATACCAAAACACAGCGCGCCGTCCACCATCGCATGCTTACATATAGCGCTACACAAAGGGGTCGAACGCCATGTCAGAATATACGCAGTGTCTAATCTAATAATGCACAAACACTCCTCTTGCCTTTGACGGCACCTCAAGAAGAACGCACAACGTCTGCATATCCGAACGTGCACAATACACAAAACGGGAAATGGCAAACCCTTCAAAGCTGCTAATGGCGAGCTGCGATAAGCCGCTTAAAAAAAGGGTCACTCCCGCTGCTATTCTATGCACTCTCGCGATGACCACAACAGTTTGTTGTGAGAACTGGGGCAAGTCTCTATCCTTGTGGGACTTCAGCAGGTGAACTCAGCGTGGTTCGACCACACAGGAGAATTATCCACCGCTCTCAGGCCTGAAGAAGCTAACACAAACGTAAACACCATCGGTGAGGTTTCCAAGGCCTCCAGACAGGCTATGTTCCGTTGACTACATGTGCATACCGTGTGGCGCCGGGGTGGGTTAAGAGACAGCCGTCTCAATACAAGCATGTTTAGGTCAGGCCTAATGTGGCGGCTCTGTTGAACACCACCACCTAAAGAACTTTATCAAAACCTAGTAGGTCCTCACATGACCTGTCACCAGTGGGCTGACGCTTCACTGGCGCAAGCTCGATAGTCAATGAGCTTTTGTTGATTACCATGCTTGTTATACTACAGTTCATATCTTTAAAATTCAGATGCTTCAAAACATAAACGTACCTGCCAAGTTCAAGGATTCCGAATCTGGGAGATTTCTGACAACAGGTGTGGGTGGGTGCTCCTTTGCGGCCGATTTGTTGTGTTCTGGGAGCCTTTTCGAGTGCATGTCTGTCCACAGTATCGCTTATCCACATGCAACCCAATGTGTCTTTTCGTCCGAAGCGCTGTGAACTTCACGCAGCCTTTTATCCCGACTTGCTGCCCGCGATGAATTCTACAGTTGCCAGTTTCTAGCCCTCGTAGTCACTAGTCTATCATGATGTCTGAAATTCGAAAAAGCCAAATCACGATCTCACATGTGTCAGCCCGTCCTCTGAGCCCACACCCCTGCAAGTCCTTGGAGGCTCTATACTCCTTATAGCTAACCTGGCTTCCACAATCTCACTGAAAGTTAAGACACAGATAACCCCTAAAAGTTTATTACAATTTTACTGGAGACCCTTCGTAGTGTATTTACACACACTTTGCAACAGAAAACCACAATAACCTCAAAAAAAAACAAAGTTGACGTCTTCTGCAAAATGCCAATTCAAAAACCACCATGCGTCACCGATGCATTACACAGAGAGCCATGTAGTTAAGTACTGTATTCCACGTGAGAAATTCAAGATGAAGGTAAAAAACACATCTTCTTCCACTAAAGGTAACTTTAAGTGGCATGCGAAGATGTGCATAAATAGACCTAACTTACGTTCATGCTAGGCACCTCAACTGATGGTGATGCGTCCTTGCAAGTGGAGCACACCATGGAATCACTGTACTTTCTGTTGCTGTTAATTCTCCTGACATCTAGATATAGCATGCCACGGGAGAACACGTGCGTTTATGGCACGTCTGCAGAATCTAGCTCCCCGACGCCGTCACATGATTGCTGAGAGAGTGTAAAGGGAAGAAGCGACAGCAACTTGCATAGTTAACTGCGCACTGCGGAATGTGCTAGCGCGCTTTGAAAGTGATAGGGCTATCTGTTCTGCATGCAGTTAGGTGACATACGGTCAGGGGCACCCCACCGAATTGAACTCCGCCACAAGCTGCTACCTTTTTCAAACATTCTGTTCAGTATTAGCCCAAAGCTAGTCGACCAGCTCATCGAAACGACACTGATACAGCCGAATAGCACCAGTGAAAACAGCCGCCACGGCAGCCGGCCCTTGCCCTCGCACTCGGGTACAAGAACTTCTAGTTGTCACCAGAGCCACCGCCATCACCGACGGTAGGTGGGACCCCACAGGGGCGCCTGCGCCTAGAGGCGTTTGGTGTGTAGCGACACCACACACCCGAGATAACAGGGGAGTTTCGGCTCCCTCCCACGGCTAGCCGTGCGTGGCTGAGCCATGTCCGGGAAAAAGGGAATCCTCGGGGTTGAGCTGACACTGGGCACTCGGACCTTTAAGGCCCCCCGGCAGAGGCAACACAACGCTTTGGCCCCTGCTTCACGTAGACGGCACCCCTGGGCTGACCCACCCAAGGAAAATCAGCAGTCGCCTTTTCCTATCTCTCTCTCCCTACATCTTCGTCTTTATCCCTCACTATTTATCTATCCTGTCTTCTACTCTCTTCTGCTTACTTCCAAACTTCCTGGCGGCTAGGGTTAATCCTGTGCAAATAGCCTACCTTGGTCTAGGCGCATTGGGTTATAGTAGCGTTGTACGGCTGGCGTCTGCAGGTTTTAGCATCTGCAAACTTGCAGCGTCCCCTTGTTGGGCTTCGTGGTGGGTGGCCGCAAACGCTGCTGAACAAAAGACCGGCATGCATGGAGCATTCTCCCTACTGTCTGATCGTACCGGCCCAAAGCGGGTACGCACCGATGACATAAATTTCTACCAGCATATAGAAAGATTTCCCCACTTCCACGTCATCCACTGTGAAAAAAACGAGAAAGCAAGCCAGGAGTGTATCTCCTTTCGTAGCTGCCAGGTGCCTTACTGAAACTTTCGGGGCTGGATACAAAGTAACCAAAATGGCTAGCGGAGACCTTCTCCTCGAAATGCGGGACAAAGAACAATTTGTAAAGCTAGACAGCCTCTCAACGTTTGGTGACATACTGATCACCATAACACCGCACAGATCTATGAACATCACTCGCGGAGTGGTATCTCATGCAGACTTACATGACCTGACCGAAACAGAACTTTTGTGGGGTGGAAGAGCTAAATTGTCACTAATGTAGAGAGACTTACCCTCAGAAAAGATAATAAGAAAATATGGACGATACACTTAATACTCACGTTTGCATCCAGTAAACTACCGAAACCTATTCAAACAGAATACACGATGGCATCTACCAGGCCATACATACCAAACCTTCGTCGTTGCTTCCAATGCCAGAGGTAAGGCCATGGCTCTAAAACCTGTCGTGGTCGCCAGACTTGTGCACAATGTAGAGTCATAGGCCACATGTCTGAGAACTGCAAACAACCGCCACACTGTGTAAACTGCGAAGGAAACCATGCTGCATATTCATGCTCCTGCACATACTGGAAAAAAAAGAAATAATTACAGCAAAGGTGAAGGAGAACATATCATTTAAGGAAGCACGGCAAAGAGTCGCACCATTCTATGGACCTACATATGCTGATGCGGCGCGTCAGGGGGCACCGCCGAACCAGCCCTCGCCACTCCTTCGGCCCGCGCATAGCGAGCTGGCGGTTGTGGCACCTGCCCCCAAGGCA